AGACAAAACGGAAGAACGAAGACAAAAAAATTGATGTCTATAACAATCGAAAAACTTGCAAATCACAAGTCTTCCTTATTTAATTTTAAAAATATAATATTTGGTAATAACAATTTGAAAAGTAAAAGTATATAAAAACAAAAAAAAATTAAATAATGTTTTCTGGGTAAATTGTTCTTTGGTCTAAAATATTATAATAATTTAACATCTATAAATAAAAAAATTAAAACAAAAAAAACAAACAAATAATATACCCCAAAAAAATGATGACTGAAAAAAAAAGAAATATAGTATTTTAATTAGTTAAGTTAATATCATTTAAATATATATTTTTATAATTTAAAAAGGCACATATCCTGGGGAACGTGCGGAAAATTCTACAAAGGAAAAAACTTGCATCATTGAGGAATCCTAATTTTCCAGCCAGTAGTTTCACATGGTTTATTATGCAAGATATTTATCTTCGTAGCATTAGAATAAAAATAGTTCTTTCGCAATCTTTACAAAGACATTGAAATGGATTGGATTATTATTCTAACAATTAATGTTGACATTCAGCATATGATTGGATAAGTAACAGAAACTAGGATCACCGTGAATTAATTTTTCATTTTATGAGAGTTTTTTACATCTTCGTGTTATATTAGTGGAAAATGATGCAATCATATCACTTTACATCTGTCTTTTAGAACTCAATTTCAAATTTTACAAAACATTCTATTATAATTTCATTCATACAGTCTTTTCTGGAACTTTTCTAAGAATGCTTCAACACTGATTTAGAATACAGATATACAGAAAGTAAAATTCCTTAGTATTTATATTTGTTTAATATACTATTTCATAAACAAGCAGATGCGCTGGATATTAAGGCCATTTTCCCCCGCGTTTAAACAAATAGATGTAATTAGCTATTAAAGCGATTTTTGAAATCCGTTTGGAAAGACAAAAAAGAATAGCTTTGCTGGCTTCCTTTAAATGCTTTTAGTAGCAGACAAAACTTAAACTGTTTGGTTAAAGTTAGGAAAATAACGGCGAACATTTAGTACTTTAGAAGGGATGCCTTCATGGCTGGCTTTCTGAAGGAAACTTAATGGTGTTACAGTTAATCGGATAAACAAAATAGAAAATCGTATGAATGAGTTAGAAAGTTCGAACTCCGATAAATTAAATACACAGTTATCTATGCGTATTCATCAATATTATTCATTCTTCGCATTAAGAATTCCAGATTTGTTTGGTAACACTACTTATTACAGAATGAAGAATTTTATTTTCTTACAACATGATTTAATATATCCTAAATGTGAGTAACTCATGTTTCACAAAATACTTAATCTCCACAAGTTAGATTAATATATCTGCATTATATATCTGCATAATATATCTGCATTGAAATATCTGCATTGAAAATTATGAAGTAAATCTTAAACACTTATTTCCTCGAATAAATTCCAGAATGGATTAAGCATGATTTAATTCGCAATAATAAGAGAAGGCGTTATCTTTGTTATTGCGAAGCTTATTTTCTCTAGATTGACAATAAATCTACTATTCTGATGTTTCAAATGTAAACAAAGATGGCCTCCATAGCAAAAATAATTAGGCTTAGCTGCACTTAAACAACTTTTAAATTGTTGATAATTTTAAAAATATTGCATGCACATTTACTAAAGGCATAAAAACCTTAACCGGAAGATACGAACAACATAATTCAATCATTTTTAAAGCAAAAAATGCACAATTTACAAACATATAAGAATAAAGAAACTGAGATTGCTGAGCCGAGTAACAAAGCGGATATATATAAATACATACATTTATATACTTTTGGTGCTGCCGATTGCAACCAAAATACGTGGTGCACATCTACATGTTATAGCAGTCCTACATACAAAATTTCAACGTTCTGAGGATACACGTTTTTCAGTTATGCGAGATATGTACATACGTACTTGCGCACAGGCGCCACGAAAAATTCTCCTCAGAATTCATTTTAAATCAGGTTTATTTATTTATTTTTTTGAGGGGAAAAGAGTCCTTTATTTTGTTCTTACTTGCAGATGTCACGCAAAAACATCGTTAAATTGCATTGGATAGCGGTCAAAATTGATATTTTCGTTGAAATATTATATCCGAAATTTTTCGCGATTACGAAACTTCCTTTTTACTTCGTACAAGGAAGTAAAAAAGGTTTTCATCATATTTTAAAATACGAAATAATCTTATGATTTATTTGTTTTTCTCATTGTTATTTTTATTAATGCATTACTCGCAAGGAATCAAAGCAGCGAACTCACAAATATTTTAATAATCTCACATAGACCTTTCCTTGTTACAGTAAATTCTACAAGTGATTACTCTGCCATTTCTTTCAAAGTTCCCAAAGGCGCCCTACGCATTCAGACATACGAGGACATAATAAAAACTTTATTGTCTCTTCCTTTTGTCGCGCTGTTTAACATTGTTAAGAAATGAGCTGACACGTTTTCTAGACATGTCTTTAGAAATAAGCTGACACATTTTTTAAGACATATCTTTAAAAAAGGAACTGCCACTATAACGTGCAACGAAACAGTTCGCGCCAATTAAGATAATTATCACATGCGCTTTCTCCATTTACCGATTTCAGAAGTCCTCAGACGACAAATAAACAAAAAATGAGTTGCCTTCGACTCGAGCAAGCACGATTAACATAATAACTGTTCTGGGATTCCGCCGGGTGTTTTAGTTTTCTGAGCAGCGAAAACAGGCGGAAAAAGCAGCGAACCGTAATTAACCTTGACTCGAAAGATGATAGTTTAAAAATGATACATTACGGAAGCGTAATATTTTCGATATGATAAAAAAATATAAAAAGTGCTGAGAGGGTAAATTTTTTAAAAAATTAATATATTATTTTTTATACGTGAGTAAGACTGCCGAAGCTGCGGGAGCTGTTTGTAAATCTCAAAATGACCTTGGCTGGGAAACCGCTCAACGGACCACGACAACAACTAAGAATAGAGATATATTCGTATGTGCGAGAATAGGGTGATCTTGGGGAAATCTGCTTATTGAAAAACAGCAGTTATGAATTAACAATGAAGCAGAAAAATATAACAATAAAACAGAAACTTTTTTTCATTATCGATGGGAAAAAAGGAGAAAATATTTTCGTTGTAAATGTGCAAGGTCGTACAGCCATTTTTTTGTTTTGTTGTTGTTTTCTGAACCAAAAAATGATATAAATCAGCTGTGTTTTAGCCGGAATTTTGACCATGGATCGTCCATTTGTTAGCTGGATGTACTAACCCTTTACGCCATGAAAGTGTGCAAGAAGAAATATGATAATTCCTTTATTCCTCTACACTTAAAAGGTGTCTGGGGAAAGGCATGAGACTTAATAGCTCAAGTCTAGATGTTGACGAACTATCTCCACCGACATAATTAATTTAGCTCTAGTGATAATTTTAGTTATATTACTATTTCTAAAACTATAATATTTAATTATATTTATATCTTTCCTAAAGCAATTCCAGTCATTAGGACTTAAGTCCCTTTTCACCAGGGTGGCATATATTTGTCTTACACCCGTATATAGTATATATATATCCTTAATTTATTCTTCAAAAATCATACACACTTGTGTTTGTATCTCTGTCTTCCGGCCTCTAGTTGCTCAACAGATTTCTTTTTCAAATTTTAAAAGAATTGCCATTTTGACGTATACTTTGCGAAGGAAAATTATGTTCCTTTTTTTGCAGGGTTTTATATAATTTATTAATAGCTATATTTTAGATGTAGAAGATGCTTAATTATGAGTGATTTGCTGATGTCTAATTCATTTGTTATTGAGAAAGAAATAATTTTAAACTAGAAAAATCCTCAGATTTTGCGAAATTAAATCACCAAGATATTTCAATAATGAGGACTGAATCTTTCTTAAAATTGTTGTTTTCTCAATATGCCGCAAAAGCAGAAATGTACAGCAGTTTTACTTATATTATCCTGTAATCTTGCTCTGGTTTCTTAATATGTTAATCTATAAAATTTTATATGTTAAATTGTATTTGAGAAAAGATATGTGAAATGTTTGGTGAAACAACCTAGTCCGATAACAAACTCTCAAAACTATATTTCTAAATAATATAAACTCACCGCTCTCATGAAAGAGCAGCTTATTATAATAATAATTAATATTGAATAAATCGCTTCAGTAGTGCTACAACAAATCATGATGGGGCTCTGCCAAATTTTGTAATGCTTATAAAGAAATTCGTTTCTAATAAACGCAAACAATTACCTTTATATATATATGGGAAGAATGATAATACATATATTGCCCAAACTGCACATCAAAAGGACAGTAGGAAGCAGAAAACATTATAGAGGTGAAACATAGAATTTTGAAGGACGTAAAATGTGATATCATGTTATTATTAATAAACATGTAGCATTAAAAATCGAAGATCATCTGACATATCACAAATACGTTGGTAGACTTTAGGCAGATTGACAAAATTTCACGCACAGTAAAGCAGTTAAGATTCGTTATTAAAATTATTTATATAGTTGAATCAAATTAAGCAATTATCAAGCAATGCCCTTTGCGCCTGCACCATTTTACGCCCTGTTCAGAATATTAGAAAGTAAAAGAATATGAAGAAAAGGCCATTTTTTAAAATCCTATCAGAATTTTGCTGTAAGCTATAACTTGTTAACAACCTAGAGTAAATAGCAAAAATAATTTAAGCAAAAATACGTGCAAAATAGCTGGTCGACTCAGCGACCGTACAAAGTAATTTGTAAACATAATAAAATATCAATTCATGCTTTAAAATGAAAATCAGTTAATTAAGGCAACGTAAAATTTCCAAAATTTATACTGCTTTTATTTTCTATGTAAAACATTGTCAAATATCTAAAGTAAATTTCTTTGATAGTACAACTTCAACTTAGCTTAACACGAAAGGGACAATGTAAACATATGACTTACATGAATGCTCCTCTGTACACGCGTGAAATTCTCTGGCGAAAACATCATTTTCTGGACAATACAAACAAAGACAAGTCATTTCAGCGGAAAGTTCAGTACCGTGTTTATCATTTGCGGTTATCAGGTACCACAGGTAATCATTTCGTTTTTAATATCCTTTTTATAATAATTACAAGGTAGATAGTTCTTTCCGGTTCTTGCTGTTTCCGCTTTCTTTTCAGACCAGGTTAGAACAGCAGACGAAAATCGTGTATGGCTACGTCACTCGTGACGTTAAACACGATGTGTACCGAGGTTTAACGAATGGAGCGAACGCTACGTCATGTGTTCAGTTAAGGTAGGCGAAAATGAACGAAGGTGGTATGTTTCGGAGAGAACAGGATTTTCGTGCGATTGCATTCCGAATTGGTATTTTTTTAGAAACTATCTTTCAGAGAAGGGAATATGATGTATATACTTTATTTTAAACGTGGCAGGATGCAAGTTTTTAATTTGTTGCAACATTTGATCGACATTAAAAATACTGATTCACATTTACAAGTTTAATGCGAAAAAAAGGAAATACGCGTTTTGTCCGTGAATTTCATAAATCCTAAGAATTTTAATGCACTAGCCTCTTTTAATTTATAGAATTAAGTACGGATAACCTGTAAATGAAGACAATCCGCGGTTTTATGTAATAGAAGTTAACTTTGCAGAGGGTTTAAAGAAATATAAAAGGAGTGACCAATTTCACGTGAGGTAGGATCTGCACCTAAGAATTCAAGAATACTCAAGATCACCAAATCGACCTCTCCTAAAGAAATAGTATAATAGGTTTTGAAAGACAAGAAATCTCGGAAGTGAATTAGCAAGGATTTTGCCTTTTATAATAGCTACAATTATTTATTAACAACAACAAACAATACTTGTTAATCTTCTTGTCTGTTCAGGAAAATATATTTTCACAGCGTACAAAAACCTTTTTGGACAATATACTGTGTATGCCTTCTAGATCTTTTCCGTTATACGACAATACATGCCATTTACTAGTTAAACGTAGCATTCACCAACTTGTTATTTCCATTTAAAAATAAAAATCGTCAACATCTCTATCTGTTGTAAATTTTCTAAACTCAAGAAATACAGTGTGATCCCAAAGTAACAGAAAGTATAAAAATTCAATTATTTGAATGTATAGATGGTAGCCCGATGTGGTTTTTGCAGAAATGCAGAGAAGCCGTGTCACAATTTTTGTTATTGTCAACAATGTTGTAGTCTTATATTATTGTCAAACGCAGCGTGTTCCAAAAATGAATATTTACAACTTCCATCGTTGATAGACCTTTCCTTGTTACAGTCGATTTGGTGATCTTGATGTTCGAAGCACAGAATATAGCTTACAGATTCTCTGAGACTCTTTCTAAATAACAGCTACATTTTCGAAAGCACTCTTTCATTGTGTTTTGAGAGATTGCTTCCCATGCATTGATTGTAATATGTATGGATCCTAGCAAAATTTTCGAATTTTAGTTATCTCGTTTGAAGTAATTGAATTTCCCCAAGAATAAAATTTGCTTATAATTTTTTTAACAACATGTGTTCTGTAATAATATTTGAAAGCTTTTATAATGCTCTATTCTAAAGGATGAATGATAGAAGTATTTTCAGGAACTAGCACTAATTTACCGTTTTTCAGAACAAGATCAGAAGGTGTCCAGCATAGTTAACTAACAACAAAGCTGTTTTTTTATTTTTCAATTCACTAATTCTTTTCAAAAGAAAATTAATAAAAATACTACTTATAAGTCCAAAGGGACCTTTAAGGCTTTAAAGAGGCTCTCTGAGGAACTATTGTTATCGTTTTGCGATTTTGCGCCGAATCACTCTGAATGCCCGTTTCACTTTTCAAACTGTTGCCACCAAATGTTAGAATCCTGCATTGTATTTGAATAAATTAAATAATGAATAATCTGCATAAATATATGTATGTTTCTCGCATTGTGATAAAACAACGATGCTTACAGCCATCCAATATTGAATGACGTTTTCTGTACTTTTACATTCTACAATCCTATTACGGATCTATTCGCAATCCTATATTTCTACTATTCTACATGTACAATCCTATTGCGACTATGGGCATCTGGAAGCCCAAATTTGAAATTTGTTTTATTATCGATTTCATATTTTATAAAACTTGAACAAACTTTTGATTAACAAACTCAAGGATTTCAAAGAGAGCAATGGCAACGTTTTGCAGAAAAAACATTTTTATCCCGAGCGCGTGAGACTGTATATGGGAAATTCTAAAGATATTCTCAATTTAAAATTATTTTGCAATATTATTCTTGAACTGAATTTTTGCACATTTCTGTTGGACTGAATTTTATGGTTTGAGTATGTAGAACATGATATTTAATAAATAAAGGTAACACACAAAATGTTAAAGAAAACGCCCCTTTGGAAGTAATTTAAAATCTGAAGCCTTTCAGATTTTATTCTACTTGATTTTTATTTATAATTCTTGAATTCTTTCAAGCATCTGAGTCTTCTCTTTATGACAGTGACAAATGGTGTCTTTTCAGTTGTTCTATCCATATTACTCGTGAACAGTAGAGTAACTCTTTCCTTTAATTTCTTTAAATGAGTTCCTGTTTCAATTTTAAGCATTAACTTCTAATAACGCTCCGCAAACAGACTTGTTCCGTATGCATTATAAATTTCACTGAGATTGTATTTCTTCAGCAATCAGGAAAAACATCTCTTCTCCAATTATCAGTTGCATGATGATACGTCTTTTGCTTCATATTATGAAATTTTCGCTAAGTAATTTTACTTCTTGTAAGGGATTAGTCAATTGATACACAATTATGTTTTGTAAAAGAGCTTTAGAAAAAAGGACATTTTTCCCCTCAGAGCTTGGAAAACATTCTCAGTTTAACGTTCTTTTTGCACTTCCTCAGTAAATTTGTAATTTTATTAGTTCTTATCATTTATAGTTCTTTGTTTGAGTACTGAACAATGGTGTTACAGCACTATAATCATTTAATAGTTTTTCCTTTTTTTTTCAGACGTAAAATTTTCCACTTAGACATCTTCGATAGGTTACAAGCTGGGCACACAAGAAATTAGAAAATGCTTCTTTCACTGAATTTGCTCAACTTTCAAGATCACGTTTCTAGCCAGCAGAAAGACTGCACTCTGTCTGTTGAAGCACTCCCAAGTCATGGTTACAAGCTTCCTTTGCTTCTATTTTAACTTACACTGTCCTTTTCCTTTTCATCCAAAGAATGACAGTATACGATAATTTTAAAAAAACTATTTTATTAAGGTTTTTAGGACACTTCAGGAATATAATGTGTATATTTCAACAGGAAGTTTTTTAACGTGAAAATCTTAAACATCGGATATATTTCCATCTCCTAACATCCGGCATTCAAGAACAAGCAGTCACTCATTTATAGTGTCTCTAAAGGACTGTTACAGAGACAGTATGTATAACTACATAGGCTAAAATTTCGGCCAATCCCGTTATATTGAAGCACTGCATACGTGAATGATACATAAACCTCCATCTTCAACAAGTTAAATGTAAGAACCATAAGTTGCCTTAAAATGTACGAGTAGAATAATCTGATAGCAAAAAAAAAAAAAAAAAAAAAAAAAAAAAAAAAAAAAAAAAAAAAAAAAAAATCAGACTTTTCCAATATGAATTTTACAAGCTGCAGACGGCGATTTCTCTTGTCGTAACTAGAACCATGGCTAGGACATGCCTACTGTTCAACACAGGGTTTCATTAAAGTAATAAAATAAAATTTACATAGACTAAATTTTAGTTTTTCTGGACAATATGTTGCATTACTCTCCTGTAGAACAATGTTGGCATCCTTTTAGACAATAAGGCGAAAGAATACTTTTCCCAAACTATGAAACTATCGAATTCTAACTTAATTTCTTAATAACCCATCAGACTGCCCACACATTTAATGCCTCGTTGTCTCCATTCTTGATTTTTCACCTTCATCTTCGTTTCCTTCTTCTCATTCTCTTACTGGCTAGTCATGAGCAAAACCATTTTGGTGTATTATAATCCCAGTGCTTAAATTTGACTAGAGTCCAGTCCTTAATTCTCAGTTTTTGCGAAAAATCGTAATTCCATCCATTCCATTACATTTGCATTGTAACACAAAATAAAATTATATCCGATACTTCTTTTTATGAAGCTGCATCATTATGTCAGCAAAAAATTCTTTTGATTTTATAGCATTTTATTAACAATAACTAATACTTAGAAATAAGTATTAGTTTCTGAATGCATGCTCTCTTTGCCTGGTAAATAAATCCATGGATGAAAGTTTATTCATTTAGAGTTGATTCATTCATTCATTCATCATATGTCCTCTCCCACACGTCGAAATATTTCTTACAGAAAGAACATTTTATTTATAAGATCTTTTAGGAAAAGGGTAAATTTTGTGTTTCTAAAAGTACTAGTGATGATCACCTTATTGTGTTGTCGTACCCAATAATTAGATATTGGCAATTTCAATTAATTTCCGATTATAATAGGACAAAAAGGAAAACCATCTTTTATGTTTCTAAATTCGCGCATCGACAGAGACAGCATAACATAGTGAAATATTAAAATAGACTGCTGAATAACGTCCAATACTATATCTTTGCTCAGAAAAGAGTACTTACGGTTCTTTCGGATCGGTATAACTAAATAAATAGAATTAATTACGTTTGCTCTGATCTTGCAGGTCAATTCAGGGGGCGGAAAGTTTTTTCTTCTAAGATACATTTTGCTTAACGGCTGTAATTATGTAGAAAAGGGATTGTTGTCAGGTAGTGTTGACTATTCCTCTGTTAACTTACATATCCACATTACTCTTTTGAAATTTCCCCCCATTCTTTGATCTCATGCTTTAAAAATATTACTTACTTTTCATAGGTTTGTTGGTAAAAAGGATGATTTTATTTCTACGAATTCTTTGAATTAATATACACTTTACACGGTATACAAGTATTATAGAGAATGCCTAAAAATCTCTATATTCAGTTTAATTTTACAGAACATGTTTGCGTTTTATTTAACTATCATTAATTAGATAATAGGATTAGTTAAAAAATATGGGGGAAGAAATAATTATTTATTTATTTTTATTCTGGTTACAATTCGAAGACTTATGCAGTCATTCATTAGCCATAATTTTTTATTTTAATTTTTTGAATTGATCATGTTTTAGCTCATATATTTGATAGACAATTTTTTTATAATTTTATGCTTTTTTCAACGCATTTAATTCCAAATTAAAAAAGAAGTTTTTTTTTTATTATTTTTATTTATTTATTTTTAAGCCTAGAAGGGCTGCTAATTTCGTTTTGGCGTTGATTCGCCATAAACGGTGAATCACTTTTTAAATTGTTGCCACCAAATATTAGAACCCTGCATTATATTTGAAGAAATTAAATAATGAAAAATCTGCTCAAATGTACGTATGTTTCTCGCATTGTGATAAAACAACGGTACCTAGAGCCATAAAATTTTGAATGACGTACGTCTCCGCCCGAATATGGGCATCCGGAAGCCCAAATTTGGAATTTGTTTTATTATCTTTTTCATATTTTGTAAAGCATATCTGAGTTTTTGATTAAGAAACTCAACAATTTCAAAGCGAGCAATGGCAACACTGTGCGGAAAATTAAAATATTTTTTTTTTTATCTCCATCGCTAGAGACTGTGTATCTTAAATTCTAAAGATACTTTCTTTTATATATTTTGTGATATTGCTGTCGAAATGAATTTTTATTATTTAAGTGCGAAGAACATGATATTTAATAACTAAAGATAACACACAAAACGTTAAAAAAAACTTCCCTTTGGGCGTAATGTACAATCTGAGAGCTTTCGGATTTTTTAAAATTTATTTATTTATTTATTTATTTATTATTATTTATTATTTAATTTTTTATTTTTATTTATTTAATTTAATTTAATTTTATTTTATTTTTTCATTTTGGACATCGAAGTCGGATTTACGGTATCGCGCAAGTCGCAGTAATGAAGGCATTTATATTCTAGAGGGATTTTTTTTTTACTTATTACGTGTTCCGCCCTTAGGCACTACACGAAAGGGAGGGATGCCTCGTGGAGGTCTTTTCAAGGGAAACTGGCTCGTATCCACGTTACACATGGGGAAAATCACGAAAACGCCCATGCAGCCAGCCCGTTCGCCGGGACTCGAACCCCGAAACGAACTACCAATGTTCAGCGGCTTTTACCGCTCGGCCGCTGGTGGGCCTTCTAGAGGGATTGAAAATAATTTTAGGAATTCGAAGAGAATTTTGTAAAAACCTTAAATGTACCTTTGTGCTAGCCCCCACTGATTAGCCATAAAAGAAAAATAATTAATATTTGAGATCAAATGGCAGAATTTCATCATCTGAAAACATAAGATAATTAGGGTAGCAAAGAGGCCAACAACTAATAATCTAAAATACCTTGAAATAATATTATTCTTATTAGGTCTATACTATAGTTATAATGTAGTTAGTTCTTATTCGTAATTACATATTATTGACCAGTTTCTTAGCTAGCAATTTCGAATTAAAATTATTCAGTGAATTTCCATAAATTGTACATTTTTCAGTTCTAAAATTAATTTCCTAAAGAAACTTTCAACGAAACTATTCTTTACAAGGGCCAAACTATGACTGAAAATTAAATAAATAAAAAGTAAAGGTCACATCATCAATCAAAAAGAAGTATTAGTTGTCCCTTCCAGCATTTCTTACGTGCCTAGAAACATTTTTCTTTTCTGAAGTCACTTTAATTTTCTTTTAGAAATGCTCAATCGCAGTCTTTCATATATATCAAGGGCAATTTGATCATGCTCATTTTTTCCCTAGCGAATGATTGTTGTTCTGGCGCCCTCTTCATCAGTTTTATAGTTACGTTCCCTCTTTCGATAATTTTTTTTTTCCGTTGCGCAAATTTAATTGTTCTGTCAGTAGAGGATCGGAATTCTATTATGACCATTATATTCTCCCTGGAATTATTATATTCCGACTGGGCCATTATATTCTATCTTATATACTGGAAGTTATTATGACCATTATATTCTATCTTGATCCGAGAAGATGTTTGTCCTTTGTAGTTGAAACATTTAAAAAGTAAGTAATGAAGTTTTTTTTTAAGTATTCCTTTTCAAATATTAATTGCTTCTTTCGAAGTTAAATTTTATCCCTTGATGATATAGCTTCCTCTATAATCTAGTCTCTTAGGTTATTTCATTTTTCTCTCTAAGTTAAGATTCAAACAAATCGAATAAGGTCATTGCTTGTATACACCCTTTTTGATAATAATGCTGTTTTTTAAGTACATTTTTCATAAATTAAACTTATATATACGTTTTAAACTCTATATATACTCTGATATATGTTTTAAACTCTTTACTTTCATTTAAATCATACGAAACAAAATTATGAGAATATCTAATTATAAAAAGTGATAGATTTTAATTTCATTGCCGTTATTATTTTTAAAATATTGAATGATTCTTCCATCAGCGAAGTCGAAGCGTGCAAGGAAAAATTAAACAGTACTGTAGTTAAAGACACAAGAATTCATTTAAAAAAAAAAGAAAGAAAGAAATCTGATAAAATGTATAAATATTTCATAAAATGCCATCAGTTTCCAGATCCACTCTCTTGACCTTATATTCGCTCTCTTAAAATTGTTAACATCAGTAATTGCCTGCTGATACGTTTCCTGATAGAATGGCAAACATTCGTTTGGGATATTACTATCAAGTAAATTTTACTTGACAGCCTCCCTGCTAGAATGGTAGCTGGATGCCATAACATTAGGTTCGGGCTCTAATCTCGAAGAAAACAAGGTTTTTTTTAATGCATAATATCCTTGCGGCATAGAGGTGTTTAAAAATAATATAGAGACGAAAGTACTATCAAGAAGATGGTGGTAGGAAGAGAAGGATGTGAGATCCTCATATCCTTACCACGTGTTCTCCTTCAAAACTTGATACTTTGATACGAACGTGATTATGCAGGGTTTCTACTGCGGCAGGAGTACTTCCCTGTAACCTGAGGTGTTTCCACAATGGGCATGGTGATGAGGTTTACTAGATCCCAAGATGGGATATCAGCATTGAAAAGAAAGAAAAAAACCCAAAAATGTGGCTTGGGAAAGTGAAGAATCTGCTGAAGATCTTGGAGAAGACCAGTACTTCTAAAAGTCGTTACCCACTGAATATCGAACTGACGATCTGCGGATCTGTAGGTCTATGCTCTATCCGTTCGGTACTCTATTGATGCTTGATGCTTGTGAAAATATGAAGTGAATAAGAAGCAGATCAGGAACTTATGTGGTGAATTCCCTCTTTTTCATAGGTCTAAAACTATCGTTTCCACTGGCGTACCCTAGACGATGTTTTCAGTGATACGACAGCTAAATGACCAATTAGACTGGCTGTAATTTCTGGCAGAAATGCCTAATTAGTAGGTGCTTGGCTATTAGAGGAAAAACAAAGCTTTGTTTAACAGGAAATCAACCAATTAACACCAACTAGCTGATGTCCCATTTCGAGTTTTCCCTGTTCATTCTTTTTGGAAGTGGCTGAAAAATTGTGTAATTTCAGACAACCCTCTTCTGCAAGTATTTTGGACAGAGC